ATTATTCAAGAATTGGATAATGAAGCATGACCAAACAAATATAGAAAGGAAAAAAAAAATAGTGCAAACTTTTCAAAGGCATCATATTGTTACTTTCCAGAATGCTTTGAGCATGAATAATTTAGAGTGGGATCTTCTCTCTTGACTCTTTCTCAAGATTGATGAGGTAAATGATAATTTGAAACTTGAATTCAATTGTCATAACATACTTCCCTAGACACGTTTAAAAGAAAGAGGTTCTACCAATCATGAATTCATAGAACTGTAGCTTACATTCTTCAAATACCCTCTGATGTGATTTCCACAAAATTGGATTCCAGTACACGGCAAGATAACATACAACCAAATCATCACTTCAGGAAAAAGCTCTTCTGACAACCGGTAGCCAGGGAATGTATATTTCTGTTAGGACTTCCTTCTCTTCATATTCTTGCAAGTTGCAAGATTATGTTTGAACCAAACACATTGGCCAGGGGGCAGAATGAGAATTCAAAACCAAAACTACGCGAACTTTTGCATCTTAACATCATATGTAGCTAGTTAAACTAATTCGCAATGGATGGTAGCATATATATATTTTTTACATACTATCAGATTTTGTGATCAAAGTTTTAACTTGTACCACCATGGAGGGATGTTTCACTCTCAGAAACTTTGAGAAGCACCTTTGATCGATGATGCTACATAAAAAGTTATTTGAAAGGGATCATCCGCATCATGCAAAGTATTTCTATTAGAATTGGAAGATTTCTAACTTCTTTTGTCTATCTCATGTTGCTTTTTCTAGTCTCTGCCAATATCACATTCTATGTCTCAATTTTCTAGCCTTATTAGATTTAACGGACAAGGGAAAGCTCAAGTTCTTAGCATCTTAATTTAATTTTCTCTTCATTCAAGTTTCTTCCTTATATATGAAGTTCTTTTCAGTTTTCATCTCTGAAATTCACTAAAAGGAAATCATCCAGCTTCATATCATATGAAACGGATATATATATATATATATATATATATATATATATATATATATATATATATATATATATATATATATATATATATATATATATATATATAAGCCTATTGTGTAAGAAAGCGGATTGAAGAGACACCAATGAATAATTTTAATGATATTAATCTATATAATTTTAGAAGTTTCTGTTAAAATTATTAGATGACATTTTTGCATTTTTAAATATGTTAGATAGAAAATAATACATTTTAATAAATATTACAGTCGGTCCTCGTCCCTGTTAACTCTCCAAGGGCGCAAAAGATTCATCTGTTGTTGACAGACCATGACATTAGCGCAAACACTTCTATGTGTCTGATTAAAGAAGCAAAATGGCTTCACGTATTTGCAGCTCTCACTCTTGGCTGTTCCATGATCCGCAATCTTTTCCCACTTCATTCTCTTCTTTTTCTCCGCATAATTTCCTATTACCTAACGCTTCCTCCTACAAACGCCTCACGCTTCACTCCAAAACCTCTCTCCACCACCCCAACACCCACGCGCCACACCAAGACGCTGTTTCTTCCGACCCAGATGCAAATTCCTCGTCTGTTTCCAAAACCCGCGTTTGGGTCAATCCCAACAGCTCTCGAGCCAAACAACTCCGAACCAAATCGTCGGGCTCCAGGTACAGTTACCTCACCAGACTCGCCGAGTCGTTGAACTCGTGCACTCCCACCGTGCAACATGTGTCCACAATTTTAAAGGGTCTCAGAGACAATGTTTCAGAACGTGACGCTGTGTTCATTCTTGACAAGATGGTGAATTCCGTGACCGCGCCCTTTGTTCTCAGACACTTCCTGGACAAGATTAAACCCGCTGGAGACACCGAGGTGATTCTCTATAACGTCACCCTAAAGGCGTTTAGGAAGTCCAGGGATTTTGAAGGCGCTGAGAAGCTGTTCGATGAAATGCTTCAACGAGGGCTCAAACCTGATACCATTACATTTTCGACTTTGATTAACTCTGCTAGGATGTGTGCCCTGCCCAACAAAGCTGTAGAGTGGTTTGAAAAGCTGCCGAGTTTCGGGTGTGAACCCGATGCCATGGTGTGTTCGGCTATGGTGTCCGCATATGCACAAACTAATAATGTTGATATGGCTTTGAGCTTGTATGATCGTGCAAAGGCTGAGAACTGGAGCCTTGATGCATCGACATTCTCGGCATTGATTAAGATGCATGGCGTGTTGGGAAACTATGATGAGGGCTTGAGAATCTTCCAGGAAATGAAGGTTCTTGGCGTGAAGCCTACCGTGGTGACGTACAATACAGTGCTGGGTGGCTTGTTTAGGGCTAAGAGGTCCTGGCAAGCCAAAAATATATATAAAGAAATGGTAAGTGATGGGGTTTTGCCGGATGTTATAACCTATTCTACTCTTTTGCGAATTTATGCTGGGGCACAATATAGTGAAGATGCTTTCGGTGTTTATGAGGAAATGAAGAGGCATAGAATGGATATGAGTGTGGATCTTTACAACAGGCTCTTGGCTATGTGTGCTGATGTTGGTTGCATAGATGAAGCTGTTGAAATTTTTGAAGACATGAAAAGTTCTGGGACTTGCCAGCCTAACAGCTTGTCATTTTCATCCTTAATTACCGTATATTCCTGCAATGGGAAGGTTTCAGAAGCAGAAAGAATGTTGAATGAAATGATCCAAAATGGATTTCAGCCAACTATTTATGTTCTGACCTCACTTGTCCAGTGTTATGGAAAAGCTAAGCGAACTGATGATGTTGTGAAGATTTTTAAGCAACTCGTGGATTTGGACATTGTACCAGATGTTCAATTCTGTTGTTGTCTTCTGAATGTTATGACTCAAACGCCAAGAGAAGAGCTTGGTAAGATAATAGATTGCCTTGAGAAGGCTAATACACAGCTTGTTTCTGTAGTAAGATATTTGGTGGAAGAGAGGGAGGGTGATGGAGATTTTAGAAAGGAAATATCAGAACTTCTTAATTCAATTGATGTTAAAGTAAAGAAGCCCTTATGCAATTGTCTAATTGATCTTTGTGTTAGCCTGAATGTGCCAAACAGAGCACGTGACCTTCTGGAGTTAGGATTGACACTCGAGATATATAAAAATTTACAATCCAGATCTCAAAATCAGTGGTCTTTGCATTTGAAGAGACTCTCAGTTGGAGCTGCTATGACCGCATTAAATGTCTGGATAAATGACTTGTCTAAGGCATTGGAATCAGGGGAAGACCTTCCACCTCTACTTGGAGTTAATACTGGGCAGGGAAAACACAAGTATATTTCAGACAGAGGTTTGGCTATTGTATGTGAATCACATCTGAGGGAACTCAATGCTCCATTCCATGAGGCTCCAGATAAGGCTGGCTGGTTTTTGGTTACAAAGGATGCAGCCAAATCGTGGCTGGAGTCTAGGAGGGGTTCAACAGAATCAATTGCTGATTTGAAGTCTCAGGTTTCGTGTGGTCCAACAGTTGCCTTTCAGTATCGATAGTTTCTGTTTTAATAACGATATGCCATGTTATTTATGCATTTTTCTTCTCCTTTAATGGAAATTTTGTATTAGTAGATTCAAGATATGTATATTATTGAAAATTCAGTGATCTTGTAGAGTAACTGAGGACCTGATACCAGTATCTAGTGTAGTGGCTAGATTTCTTTGCAGTGGTTCCATGGTCTAGGAAGATGCATTTATATCCTGGCGTTAATTTTCCTTTTTATTTGGTCTACGTTTCTATTTTTTTATGTTGCCATCGTTTGTAAACTAAAACCAAATACTTCATCAATTCACCGGTGTTGGAGGAGCAATAGGTTCAGTATAAAATGGTAAACATCTAATATTAATCCTCCTAAGTCCACGACGGGGAAGAAGTGAAGAGCACAGTATTGCTAAGGAATATCTGTATATTTTCTATAAGATATTCCCGCTTGTAACACTCTTTGTTTGTGCCATCCCATGTTTCTAATTCTTCTTTCCAGCCAAAATGCCAAGATAACCTTCTCTTTTTATATAGCCTTGGACTTATTTGTTGAGATGTGATACTTTGATTGATATTTTTATTTCTTTGGCTTCATTCGGTTTTTTGGCAATTATCCCTAAATTAAAAAAAATGTAATTAGATCCTAATATTTTACAATGTTTGGAGCTTTAAAGTCAGCAAAACCTCCTAATCCCAGAGATTAAATTACAAAAATTCTATAAAATAAATGCTCTATTTACAATTTTTTAAGTTTAAGAACTCAATATTTGTTTACAGCTCTTTATATCATAACTTTATATGTAATTTTACGAAGTTGAAGTGACTCTGGGTGTTATTTTTTAAAAAATAAAAAATAAAAATAGTACATTAAAATAAATTTTTAAATTGTAATGCCCAATTAGTCTTTTAAAAAATTAATTCATTATTAAATCTTTAAAAAAATGTAATCAGTTTAATTCTTTATTAATTCTTAACAAAAAACAATTTTAGATATGCTACGTACGTCAAGTTTTTTTAAATATTTAAAAATAAATACTTTTTTAAAATATTAATAACAATTAGTAAACTTTAATGGCTAGGTATTTTTGTGTGTTGTATACTACATATATCCTTCACAATAAGCAATCACGTATGGGCAAAATAAATAAGTTCAAATCGAATTTGTGTACATAATAATATTTTATAAATTAGTTCCGTTTAAGAATCAAAGCTAAGAGTAATAGTTTATATTCAATTCATTCTCTTTGTGACCAAGCAATAAAATCAGTATAACGTGATGAACGAGTGAGACCCGACCCTAACTATCTCGTCAGAGGAGACATGAGGGCGAAGTACTCTCTAGACGAAACATTTGTCCATGAATTTATTGGGTAATAAAAACAATTACTAGTTTTGGCCTAGTAATTTCTTCCTCATCTTATTGGTCAATTGTGTTGTCCTCTTTGTGTCTACTGTGTTCTCCCATTGGTCAGCTACTAGATTCTATCTACTGGGATGGGGGTATCTTATACCGATGAGATAATAAGCAAGAGGGAAAATGGCTCAGCCTCATCCTCTTTGCTCTTCCCCTTGTTCTACTTCTTCCTTCTCATTCCCTTCTCACAAACCCTTCACCATCATCCCTTCTCATTCCAGAACCCTTCTCCAGCCCCCACGCTTCTCCGTACAACAACCCTTCAGCACTCTACAAGACTCGAAACTTGATGACCTGGATGCAAAGCCTTCGTCTTTATCCAAAAATTCCATCTGGGTTAATCCCAAAAGCCCCAGAGCTAAGCAACTTTGGAAGACTTCTCCTCAAGCCAGGTCGTCATTTCTCTCCAAACTCGCCAAGTCTCTGGACTCGTGCCACCCCACCCACGAACACGTCGCCGAAATCCTCAACGTTTTAGGGGACAACGTTTTCGAACGCGATGCTGTGTTTATTCTCAATATCATGGTCAATCCGAGTACTGCACTCCTCGCTCTTGAGCACTTCCAGCAAAAGATTAACCCAGCAAAGCACGTTGTTCTTTACAACGTTACTATGAAGGTGTTTAGGGAGGTTAGGGATTTTGAAGGTGTAGAGAAGCTGTTTGATGAAATGCTTCAAAGAGGAGTCAACCCTAATATCATTACGTTTTCAACTATAATTAGCTCTGCTTCCATGTGTTTTTTGCCGCACAAGGCTGTGGAGTTTTTTGAGAAAATGCCCTCTTTCGGGGTTGAACCTGATAAGAATATAGCGCCCTTTATGATTCGTGCTTATGCAACTAGTGGTAATGCTGACATGGCTTTGAAACTCTACGATCGTGCAAAAGCAGAGAAATGGCGCGTTGATACGGGGGTGTTCTCGGCATTGATTAAGATGTGTGGGGTGTTGGAGAATTTTGATGGATGTTTAACTGTTTACAATGATATGAAGGTTCTTGGTGTCAAGCCTAACATGGTAACTTATAACACTCTGTTGTATGCCATGGGAAGAGCTAAGAGGGCCTTGGATGCAAAGGCTATATATGAGGAGGTGATAAATAGTGGATTTTCACCAAGTTGGGCTACCTATGCAGCTCTTTTACAAGCCTATTGTAAAGCACGGTTTCGTGAGGATGCGCTGAGAGTTTACAAGGAAATGAAAGAAAAGGGACTGGATGTTGACGTAGTTCTTTATAACATGCTTTTTGACATGTGTGCTGATGTTGGTTGCTTGGATGAAGCTGTTGAAATCTTTGAAGACATGAAAAGTTCGGGGACTTGCCAGCCAGACTATCTGACATATTCGTGCTTGATCAAAATGTACAGTTCTCATCTCAAACACACCGATTCTTTGGAGTTGAGCAATTCATGGGAGCAACAGGTCTCCACAATTTTGAATGGTCTAGTGGACAAGATTTCAGAAGGAGATGTTATATTTATTCTCAATAAGATGGTGGATCCCAACGCTGCATCCTTTGTTCTTAGATATTTCCAGAGCAAGATTAATTTCACTAGAGATAAAGAGGTGATTACTTACAATGTGACCTTGAATTTGTTTAGGAAGTCTAGGGATTTTGAAGGAGCAGAAAAGTTGTTTGATGAAATGCTTTATAGAGGGATAGAACCTGATAACATTACATATTCAACAATGGTTAACTGTGCTAGTGTGTCTGGTTTGCCTGATAAGGCCGTGGAGCTATTTGAAAAAATGTCCAGCATTGGTTACGAGCCTGATGGCATGACAAGCTCAGCCATTATATATGCTTATGCACGTACAAACAATGTTGATAAGGCTTTGAACCTATATGATCGTGCGAAAGCTGAGAAATGGCGGATTGATGCTGTAGCAATCTCAGCATTGATCAAGATGTTTAGCGTTGCAGGAAACTATGATAAATGCTTAAAAATCTACCAAGAAATGAAAGCTCTTGGTGTGAAGCCTAGTGTGGCGACATATAACAATTTGTTGGGTGCCATGTTGAGAGCTAGGAAGCACCGACAAGCCAAGGCTATATATAAAGAGATGAGAAATATTGGTGTTTCACCAGATTTTATAACATATGCATCACTTTTGGAACTCTATACTAGAGCACTATGTGGTGAAGATGCTCTTGGTCTTTATAAGGAAATGCAAGAGAACGGAGTCGATGTGACTGCGGATCTTTATAACAAGCTTTTGTCTATGTGTGCTGATCTTGGCTACATAGATAAAGCTGTTGATATTTTTTATGATATGAAATGTTCTGGGTCTTCCCAGCCTGACAGCTGGACATTTTCTTTCTTAATTACCATGTATTCCCGCAGTGGGAGAGTTTCAGAGGCGGAAGGGATATTAAATGAAATGATCCAATCTGGATTTCAACCTAATATTTTTGTTTTGACATCACTTGTCCAGTGCTATGGAAAAGTTAAGCGAACTGATGATGTTGTGAAGATATTTAATCAACTTCTGGAATTGGGCATCGTTCCAAATGATCATTTCTGCAGTTGCCTTCTGAATGTTCTAACTCAAACACCAAAAGAAGAGTTTGGTAAGCTAACAGATTGCATTCAGAAGGCTAATGCAAAACTTGGGACAGTGGTAAAATATTTGGTGGAAGGGAAGGAGGGCAATGGAGATTTTAGAAAGGAAACGGTAGAACTTCTAAATTCAATTGATGCTGAAGTGAAAAAGCCTTTATGCAATTGTCTAATTGATCTTTGTGTCAAACTGAATGTGCCTGAAAGAGCATGTGACCTTCTGGATTTAGGACTGATGCTTGAGATATATACAGATATACAATCCAGATCTCAAACTCAGTGGTCTTTGCATCTGAAGGAACTCTCAGTTGGAGCTGCTATGACTGCATTACATGTTTGGATTAATGACTTGTCTAAGGCACTGGAATCAGGGGAGGACCTTCCTCCACTTCTTGGAATTAATACTGGGCAAGGAAAACACAAGTATTCAGACAAAGGCTTGGCTACGGTATTTGAATCACATCTGAAGGAACTGAATTCTCCATTCTATGAGGCTCCAGATAAGGCTGGCTGGTTTTTGGTTACAGAGGCTGCAGCCAAATCATGGCTGCAATCTAGGGGTTCAACAGAATCAATTGCTGGTTTGAACACTCTGGCTTTGGCTGTTCCAACAATGGCCCTTTAGTATCATGTTGATCTTTTCGGCTTTTTTTCTATTCCTTTTCCAGAAATTTTGTACTGTACATGTGGACGAAATTTGGTGAAGAAAAAAAAAATAGCAACACTTGTTTTTAATATTATTTTCTATTGTTAATTTAATCTTAATATTAATCTAAAATTATTTTTTAGTCCTAAATTGTTGTTACTCCCATGGCAAATATTAAGATTGAAATCATCAAAGAGCGAGCAAAGCAACTGAAACTTATCTGGCGAACATTTTTTTTTATGTAATCTTTTGACATGGAGAATGTAAATAACTGGAAATTTGGGTTGTCACTGCCCATGTTTGTTTTAAAATAACCAGAAAATTTTATGTATTGTCTTTGGGACACGCCGACCTACAAATGTGCAATGTGTTATAGTAAGAGTATTGTTTCCAAGGATTTGATACCAGAGTACTCTTAGCACTGTTATTAAAATATCGAGCTATTAAAATAACTTTTTAAGTACTTCAAAACAATCACTTGAATTTATAAATAACACTGATCTAATGATATGTGTCATTAAATTTTGGAGAAATTTTCATGTATTTGGAAACACATGTAAAATATTTACGTATATATGTTAATTTTTTTTTCGATCATAAAAATTCAGTTATTAAACAGTTAATAAAATAGTAAAAAAATATACTAAAAAAATTAAGAAAAGTAATTTAAAATATAATCATAAATATTCAGTTATTAAACGAAATAAAGATAAAATAATAAAAAATATATATACATAAAAAGAAAGTTACAAAACCAATTTGCTTTATTAATGGTTATATATAAAGTAAATGATATTTTTTTAGAGAAAAGTAGAGTAAATAACTTATTAACTGTTAATAGAGTTTTTAATTCTTTTTATAATATCTTTCAATAACAAATTATGTATAAAAAATTTGTTAATTTTAAAAATAAATGCCTTAAACGTCACACCAATCATATGATTAGTTGATAGGTAATTTCTTATATAGAGTTTATGTTGAAATTGTATTTATAAGTTTTAAATATTTTTTTTATAAAATCTGTGGGAAATTTTTCTGTCATTGGAAAAAAAATCTCAAAAAGGGTCTTTCTTTCTATTTACACAAATAAAATATATTTTTATATAATAATTATAAACATAATTATAATAATTGTATTTAGTATAATTATTTGTTATACATTATTAATTTTTAATCATTATTACTTAATTTTATGTTATAAATATCCTGTATATTCATAGACAATTAAAAAATTAAAAGAATAATTGATATAATATAAAAACTAAATAAAATATTTTAATTATATTAAATACCAAAAATTATAATAATTATTATATGAAAAATATATTTTAAATATATTATTAATAATAATAAACTAAATTTAATCATTACAATATTTTTTTATAATATAATTATCAATATATTTTTAATATTTATCCATTTTATAATAAATTTAAATTAATAAAAAAAATTACAAAATTCTTCGTAATACCATACTAATGTTATATTTTTTTATCGAGTACTTTTGAAATATATAGTCAGATATTAAATTCGCTAGAAATATTATGCATTTGACTAATTTGATTTCCGATCTAAAATTGGTGATATTATAAAATAATAAATATTATTACATTTATGTATCAATAGATTCACTTTATTTATTCAATATATAAATTTAAAGGATAGAAGAAATTAAAAGATCTAATATATTTCGTCGTTGAGCGTCTTAGCTTGAGTCTCTGCAGTTGCAGAGAGGGAAGGTAAATGGCAAAATCTTACCTTCTCAGCTGTTCTGCTTCTGCTTCTTCTTCTCCTTGCCCTCCTTCTTCTTCTGCTCGCTATCATCCCAAACCCATTACGATCACCATCACCTCTTCTATCTCATTCCCTTACACTTCTCGCCATTTCAACCTTCCTAACTTTTCTTTCCCCCATCAACTCTTTCCTCTCCTCCCTAGACCCAAAACCATACTCCAAGCCACCACCAATACTCTACAAGACACAAAACTCGATGATGCAGTTGCAAAATCTCCATCTTTATCCAAAAACTCCATCTGGGTTAATCCCAAAAGCCCCAGAGCCAAACAGCTTTGGAAGAATGCCAGTCATGCCAGGTCATCACCTCTCTCCAAACTCGCCAAGTCTCTAGACTCATGCATCCCCACCCACGAACACGTCTCTGAAATCCTCAACGTTTTAGGGGACAACGTTTTAGAACGCGATGCCGTCATTATTCTCGATGCCATGGTGAATCCCTACACTGCGCTCCTCGCTGTTAACTACTTCAAGCAGAAGATTAAACCCTCTAGTCACATTATTCTCTACAACGTTGCCCTGAAGCGGTTTAGGGAGGTTAAGGATTTCGAAGGAGCAGAGAAGCTGTTTGATGAAATGCTTCAAAGAGGGGTCCATCCTAATCTCATTACCTTTTCGACTATGATTAGCTGCGCTTCCATGTGCTCTTTGCCTCGTAAGGCTGTGAAGTGGTTTGAGATGATGCCCTCTTTCAGGTGTGAACCGGATAACAATTTGTCCTCGTCTATGATATATGTTTATGCAAGAACTGGTAATACTGACATGGCTTTGAAGCTGTATGCTCGTGCAAAAGCAGAGAAATGGCATATTGACACGGTTGTGTTCTCGGGGTTGATTAAGATGTTTGGCATGTCAGGGAATTATGATGGATGCTTGAATGTTTACAATGATATGAAGGTTCTTGGTGCGAAGCCGAACTTGGTAACATATAATGCTCTGTTGTATGCCATGGGGAGAGCTAAGAGAGCCAGGGAAGCCAAGGCTATATATAAGGAGATGATAAGTAATGGATTGTCACCAACTTGGCCTACCTATGCAGCTTTGTTACAAGCCTATTGTAGAGCACGGTTCAGCAAGAACGCAATGAGGGTTTACAAGGAAATGAAAGAAAAAGGAAAGGATGTGGATGTGGTTCTTTATAACATGCTTTTTGACATGTGTGCTAATGTTGGTTGCGTGGATGAAGCTGTTAAAATTTTTGAAGACATGAAAAGTTCTGCGACTTGCCGACCGGACCGATTTACATATGCATCCTTGATCAACATGTACTCTTGCCTTAGGAAAATTTTAGAGATGGAAGCCATGTTCAATGAAATGATGGAATCTGGATTTGAGCCTGACATAATAGTTCTTACATCACTTATCCATTGCTACGGAAAAGCCAAGCGAACTGATGACGTCGTAAAGATATGCAATCAGCTTATGGATTTGGGCATCAGTGCTGATGGCCGCTTCTGTGACTGTCTTCTACATGCAATGTCCCAAGTACCAAAAGAAGAACATGCTAAGCTCGCAGATTGCATTGAGAAGGCTAATCCAAAGCTTGGGTCTGTGTTAAGGTATTTGACGAAAAATCGTGAGGGTGATGAAGATTTTAGAAAGGAAGCATCAGAACTTTTTAATTCAACTGAACCTGATGTAAAAAAGTCCATGTGTAATTGTCTAATTGATCTTTGTGTGAACCTGGAGGTGCCGGACAGAGCTCGTGACCTTCTGGATCTGGGGTTGACTCTTCGGATATATTCTGATATACAGTCAAGGTCTCAAGCTAGGTGGTCTCTGCATCTAAAGAGACTCTCAATTGGAGCTGCTCTGACTGCCTTAAGTGTTTGGATAAATGACTTGTCCAAGGCTTTGGAATCAGGAGAGGAGCTTCCACCGCTACTTGGAATTAATACTGGGCATGGGAAACACAAGCTTTCAGATAAAGTTTTGCCTACTGTTTTTGAATCATATCTGAAGGAACTTAAAGCTCCATTCCATAAGGCTACCGATAAGGATGGCTGGTTTTTGGCTACAAGTGAAGCAGCCACATCATGGCTGCAGTCTAGGGTTTCAACAGTGGCTCTTCCCCAATGAAATTACTTTTAGGCAACCTTACCATGTTGACATTATGCATTTTCCTATACCGTGGGAGAAAATTTTGGTATTAGTAGTTTCTGAAAATTTGTTTTTATGTTTTGGCTGTCTAACGTTGTGAACGAAGAAGGCCTGATACTAGTATCTAGGAAGCGTAAATGTAAGTGATTAGTTCTTGGCTCTGGTTAATTTCAAACCCGATTTTGTGGGATATTAGTAGTGTTGATTGAATAAATGGATACTGGAATTGATCGTTGGTTTGGACAGGGTGAAATTGGTCTTATGGTAGTCTGTATACTAAAGCGTTTCTCATTTTATGGCAAGGTTGATGTGGCGCATGTTCCTACTTTATTCTACATAAACAAATCTGACACCTTTTGTTCTAAACGGCCAGGATCTATATCCTCAAATTGAGGAACGCAAATTTAGGAGATGGTACAGATCAACAAAGTGAGAAAAGCCTAGCATTTTTATTATTATTATGGTAAAAATAAACAATGACAAGGCTTAGTTCTAAGCTATGGATCAAATGTAGTAGTCGTTTCCATTTTTCAACTACTCCAATTTTGTGTGTTTGGAGGAATGTTTGTAAAATTAATTTTGATTAAAATTAATTATCGGGACGTGATGTATGTTTTAGATGTTCTTATCTAAAAAGTAAGTTGGTAGTAAAATTTACTACAATTTTTTTATCAAACAAAAGAGTTGATTAAAATTACTTTTAAGTCAAAATCAATTCTTCAATACAGAACTAAACACATGAATATTTATCTAAAATTACATAAATAGTATATCAACGCAATTCTGGATAATCTAGCTTGAGTCTAAGCATGCACTTGCTAAATATCAATAAACATCTGAAAAGAAGGTTGAGGTTGACCTGTACATTGAACGCGATGGTTGACCTTATTCTGTCAATTATTTTATTAGGTGGAATTGACTTTGAGTTTATGGTTTGAGTGTACTGCTATTATTATAATTAATGATTAATTGCCTGGACAAAGGTTGGCAAATTAACGAATAAAGGGATTTTGACTTTTGTAAAGAGAAGACTTTAGGAATAATGTGCTTGCAACTTCAAGTCCTCCTACCTGGACCTGAGTGCCTTTCCAGCCACACCCATTTTGGCTTTTCGACCGAATGGAACATAACTCTTCTGTATATTCTTATTTTAAGACAAGTCTTGACTTAGAACAAAAGGTATGTGATCATAGATGGTTTGCACGTTAATACTTTATTCAACTTAAATTGACCAAACTCTCTCCATATAATGGCAAGTCCTTGTTCATTTGATCATATGCAAAATGGGAAATTGTATGGCTTGCCACTCTCAACCAAAGACGCATAGCAGATATCCTCTAATTGAAGGAAAAGAATCAGAGGTTGATACCCCAGTGGCAGTTGAACAATCTGCTTCTAATAAGCGTTACATCGTGGTGCGTACGAAGCTGCAGCATGGGGAGGTTTACCAGCTTGCACCAATCATGTTGCAATCTGATAAGCCTTTGGTACCTTGTAGGACAACTAACAACAGAAAGTTGAAGACTAGGAGTGTGAAGATTGTGGTGACTGCAGAAGAATTAGAATTGCTATTACGCGGATCAAACAAGTTCCAAATCCAACATAGAGTTGCCCGTGTCAGGCGAAGTTATGGGTTGAGAGGGTGCCAAAAATGGTTTCCTTCTTTGCCAACCATTCAAGAGGTGCATAACTATTAAATGATGGGGAGATTGCTATTTAAGCATTCCTATCATCAGTTGCACAATGAAGTTTATTTGTAGTTTTTGCAAATATTCTGAAAGATGTTAGGTTGTATTTGCTCAGGAAATTAAGGATGTTTACCTGCTCAACTTTTTAAATATAGCAGCAGGGGGCAACGTACATCCCTTTTTTTTTTCTCTGGTTTAAGAGTTTTTCATGCATAGAAGATGTACGAGTAGTGAATGCGGACTGTTGTTCATGTTCTTGGCTTGACAGTGAGAATGAGATATTTGCCAAACTCTGTTGCTTAAATTATACTGCTAGTGAAAATTATCCATGCTATTCCTCTATGATACGATAGTACATAATCTGCTTCTGCTCAGGGATGTTTAGATATATCCTTCAAATACTTGTAATGATAATCCATGAACAGCAGGTAGATTTCCTTAAATGCTCAATTATAAGTGAGATTACTGTCATACTCGTAACGTAAGTTTTTTTATACTTTGGAATGATTCTCAGGGATTCAAGAATAATTGCTTTATAATCATCTTTGGTAAATAAGTTTTCAGATACACAAAATGCAGAAATGTAATTCAATTATTTTCCAAGTGTTCATCACGTTTCATCTCTCTGAAGATACATTTGACAAACGTGTCTAGTATGTATGCATGCAATACTCACAATAACAGAGCACATAGGATGCCATTTAAATTTAGTGTATGTAGTATGTACAGAGTCAGATCCTAGACTCCCTTCCCCATTGGAACTTTATTTCAGCATACTACCCACTAAATTTTTGTTTATTATTTACAAAGAAAAATCACAAAGATGCCATTGATTAATAAATTGCCTTCAGTTCTCTAAGTAAAGACTCTTCAATAATCTTTCATCATCCTGCAGTAATTTTATTAAAATGTTAAGGCTAGTATCAACAAATTTGACAATGAACAGACACAGGTTTTGGTCATTCAAAAGTAAAAAGTTACAGAACCTTCTCGAGGAATTTGAGCGTCCGATTTTCCTGTTATCATCTGCTTTTATTGAAGCAGACTCCTTCTCTCTAGCAGCTGCTTCCCTTCTCATTTTCTTCCACTCTATTTCCATAGCCTTTGTCAGTGCATCAACTTTCTTTGTGAGCATCTGAAAATAAAAGCATATTTCTTATTTTCAGTTCTAAAGGGGGATAGGGTTGTGGGCATAGCTATTACTAGTACCTTTATTTCTTCATCCTTGGTTTGCAAGCTACTCTCTTTAATTTCATAAGACTTCCTCAAATTGATGACCTCTTTCTGAAGCCTGTCATATAGAAAACCTGAGACCACATCATTGCTGCCTAAATCATTACAGCTATTGCTTTTAGAGTCTTCGTCAACTTCAACAATGGTTTTAATTTGTGCTGCTTCTCTTTCATCACTGCGTTTATTTGAATTCATGCCTGTGTTCACCTGCATCTTATTTTCTTTTTCATCACTATCAACAACTTTATTTCTTGATGCCCATATTCCTTTCTTCAATATGTTTTCTGCAGAACCATATTTCTTTTTGAGAATGCTGCCCGGTATTAGGTTCCCAGTAACACTGTCGCTGTTGCTTTTTACAATTGTCTTCGGGAACAAAGAGCTTCCAACAGTAGATCCCCTTGGTTGTGATGTGGATCTGTTTCTCAGTCCACCATTGGTCGTTAGGAAGCTTAAGATGTTAGACTTTTCTGCCTTTGCAGACCCAGAACTAGAACTGTTTGAGAAATGCTTTAAGCCTTCTTCTAGTGTTTTTAACCTCAGCTTCAGTTTATCCTGAGAAAAATTACCAGATAACTTTAGTTATAACTATGAATTCTATTTTCAGGTCAAGATGAAAGGGAAAAAAAAAAGTTGCCTTCAATTGTGACTCCGCCTTTGCTGTTCTCTCTGATATAGCTAGCTTTTCTTTCAACCGTTGCATCTCTGCCTGCATATGCATGGACATAATTTATCATAATTTTCATTTTTGCTCACTCGAATGACCAAAACTTACAATAAAAAATTGAGTTGCCTTCATCAGCATTTTAAGGTATAGTTAGGAGTTGAAATTTTCTTTTCCTTGATTGGACTTCGGACCTTTTTAATTATTTTCCTATTTATCATAGTCTTGGATTTATTAAAGGAAAAGCTATGTTAATAATAGAAATAGTAGTATTTTTGGATTGAGTAGGCAGAACCATACGATCTCCTAAGAAGATTCTTATGGGAAAATATACCTGCATTATCCTTCTCTCTTCCAACCATTGCTTCACAGGCATGACCTTGTCATTCTCGTCCTTCCACTCATTTGCCACAACTGTTGCAACTCTATTGGCTGAAACTTTTACTCTTGCTAGCTCCCTCTCTAGTGTCCTCTTCTCCTCCTGGCAATTTGTGTTATATTATGTCACTAAATGGATCAACCAGAATGAAGAAAGTCAATGTGTTCAAAATGCCAGTACCCATAAGAATTGTCTACCTGCAATTCAGAAATTTGTCGCTGATAATCACGAACAGCATTAGCATTGACTCCACTGGATAAGATGACCTCCTCAAGTTCATGGATGGTTTGGCTAAGTTTTTCAACTTCCAAAATCTTTTGGCGATGCGTTTTCTCTAAGATTTTGTTCTCCTCCTGTTCATGGAAGTTTGTAAATTGGCCTAGCACTTATTGTAACTACAGAAACTACATGGGAAAATGAAATCATAAAAAGTATGCCTGGCAGATCTCAATCTGTCTCTTCAAGTCAAAATTTTCATTCTGAACTTCCTCTACTATTAAAACTCTCTCCAGTGCAGTTCTTAAAATCTTCTCTGCTTCAAGCAATGCTGCCTCCTTTGACTTTGTGAGCCGTTCCAAAGCTTTCTTATCTTCTTGGAGAGCTGCAATCTGAAAGCAAAATGAATGTTAGTATTTTCATTCTTATGCACAATTCAATTCTTGTAAAAGCATCTTTGGTGGAAATTGCATTATTAGTACCTCATTCCTATACATCTTAATCTCAGCCTCGAGAGGAGTAATGACACTTTCAAGAGGAACAAAATCATCTTCCTTTTGATCTGCGTGTAACCTTCTAAGAGTGGCTTCTGCAGCATATTGTGCCGCCAATGCATCTTTCTTTTCCTCTGTCAGTTTCTTGATTTCTAGCTTCTGCATAAAATTTGAAGAATATGCATTTTTATAATTTACCATTGTTTCACATGGTTCCAAGTTTCAAGAGATATTAGTACCAGTTTGGTGTACCTTGTGTTTAAGAAGATCCTGAGTAAGTCCAAGTCTCTCGTCCAGCTTCCCTACTTCATTTCTCAGCTGGAATTGAAGAAAGATAATTACAGCCATTATTTAGCCACTGAGAATTATATATATATATATGTTGTTATTTACAAACAAATGTGTTATGCAACTGAATCAGTTATATGAACGCTGAGAATGACTGGTTCTAAAAGAAATATCTGATTTAATCTACTAACAGTGTTAAAAATTGAACTTTATATCAATAAGGCAAAAGGGTTTTACACAATCAACTAATCAGAAATTGTAAACAATCAAATAATCAGGTTACCGCTGCTGTACATTACGATAACATAAATAAGGTTAATAGGTGAATTTACATATTCAAGATATTGTCTAATTTAAAATTTTTCTATATTACGATTTTATCTTTTAAAAAACGTCTTAATTAATTTACTCTAACTATTAAGTAACGTGAGATTCAACTTACCGAAAGATAAACTTTTTGGATTACTCTTCGTCTCCACGACAACATAAATCATCATGTTACTTATGATTTTAAAGAATTATTATAAAAAGTAACAAATTTATGTTGCCCTTAAATCAAGCCCTTTACATTTCAATTAAATTAAAAAAAAAAAAATACCTCTTCTATGCCCTTGTCCTTTTTAGCTTCAGTTGCCCTTAAGGCCTTAATTTCACTCTGGCATGTTGCTAGTTCCTTGACCTTTTCTGCAATGGGGGTTAAAATTCACTCAGAAATTTTATAGATAAAACACAGATTTAAATATAGTTAATAAAAAAAGACATTCAATCTCATACTATAATGTTCGTTTTCATTTTGTTGTCAACGAAAAGGAAAAATGAATTAGATTTCTAGGGAAATACTCAAAAACGAGTTTAATAAATAAACCCTCGACAAAAATAATAATAAATCTTACAACAGACAATGATCTATGAGATACTATATGACAATGAAAGAAAACATGAAGTGTAACAACAGAACATGAATTTATGAGACATTGTAAGTAGACAATGAAACATGAATCTATTATTAATTTTTTAACTAGTTGGCTTTAATTCAAAATCCTATTTGAAATTGTTGTCAGTCTCCACAGTCACTGAGCATTAACCAAGATATGTGAAAAGTATTTAACAGTATATAAGCCATCAATATAATTTTTCTTTGACAACCAACAAAACTAATCATGATGACAAAATCATTATTCTTTTAATTTTTAAAGTATGATTAGGTAATCTAAATAGACTTCACTCATTGGATAAAAATTTCAAAAAAATAAAATTAGGTTAAATAAAAAAATTATGTCATAAATTAAATAAGACTAATTTTAATTTAATTCATTTAACTGTGATCAAAATGAACTTAAAATAGACCGTAGATTCATGAATTAATTTGTTTTATAAAAATAAATAATATTATTTTATCAAATAATGTATATGTTTTATAATTGAGAAAAAATAATAATATTTTTAAAAAAATTAAAAATTTATTCTTAATATTTGTTATTTAATTTTCTTACAAATGATTAAAATAAATTATTATTTTAGATTATTAGATTAAGAAAATGAAAATATAGAATTAAAATTTTATTTTGTTAATATAACTTAAATTTTAATATATATATATATATATATATATATTAATTTTTATTTAATTTTTATAAATTATTTTTATATTAACATTTTATAAAAAAAATCAATTATATCAGAAAATAGTTCACTGGTCTAGAAAAATTATAACCTGATTTAAAATATAAGATATGATGTGTTGGGTCAGTAATTTTTTTACTTAGAATATGTTTTAAATCTTGTCTCTGATGATTAATCTCTGTTCTTTTATATGAAGATTTCTTCCCCTCTTTTTTTTTTTTTTAGTTTTCTAACTCAATGCAGTCAATTTTGAAGGAAAAGGGAAGTTCTTTTTCACTTTAAAATTATAAATTTAGTTTAAAGTTTACTTAAATTATTCTTGGTCAAAGAGCCAAGTAAGGATAGTTCTTCCGGTTCCTTAGTTGTTAACTAGACTTATTCCTTAAGTCATTTTTTAGTCTCCTATTTCAAGCAATATTATTAATGAGACTATAAACTCAAACAAAACATACCAAACCTAGTTTTTGAAAATGGAAGAGATGTTTGGTTTCATATAATACTACTTTTTGTCATATATCTTATACAATATTTAAGGTTAATGAATATGGATTTAAAAATATTTAATGGATAAAAACCCCAGTTAACATTCTTTCGTGATAAATTTACATAACACTGTTTTTTACTTATCTCCATTATTGTGGTAACTATGAAATAAGTGAATAATTTGAGAGGGAATAAACTAATTAGACTTTGAAATTCTAAACGATCAATTATTTTGAGATAAAAAAAAACTGAATAATATGAAAGACAGAAAAAAAGGTGGTATTTTTATGTTTAATTATAGAGTTTAATAGCTATGCATCAACAATAAAAGTTTTTTATATAGTATTTAATTACAAATATCCGTAAGTATATTTTTTAGATAATTTTTGTAAAAAATATTAAACTTACCATACATACTCATTTGTTGTTGGATTTTGGTGTAAAAACTATTTTATTCTGTTAATATATCGTTTTTTTTCTCTTATACGAGTAGTTACAATTATACATAGAAAATAATTAATGTAAGATTTTTTTTTTAGCATCTTCAATAAGAAACTCTGAAAATAAACGAAAAAACAGTAAAAAGAAGAATAATTTTTTATAATAATTAATAAAATAACAACTAAACAATAAAGCTTGCACTAAAACTTAATGTGTCCTAAGATTTTAAGATATAAAATGCATTCACAATAGTATACTTAAAAGTTGAAGTTTCTGTTTGTTTAAGCATTAAACCCCAATTTGGAGGGTGTGATTCAACTCAAAAAAGTAATAAAGATTTTCTTCTCTCAAACTCTTGCCAACATTTCAAAAAACAAGTAGACTTAGTCTTTAATGTCTTGCATTGTGATTCAGTGATTTTACCATGAAATCAAGTTCTGCTTTTAGACTTAGTTTTAATAACTCTTAACGTCAAAGTTACATTTTATTACAACTTGTAAATTCAGTAATATATATAATTTAATATTATATTATTGAGTTGTATTTTTTTAGTAATTATTATACGTCTAATAACTAATCTCTATTAAGAACGAGTTATTATTATTATTATTATTATTATTATTATTATTATTATTATTATTAGTAGTAGTAGTAGTAGTAGTAGTAGTATGGTGTATAAAAGAAATAACTTTTCACACATAAATCAATACAATCAAAATCAATTTTGACTTTAATCAATTTTGAAAGTCAAGTTTATCTAAATAAGATTTTTGGATAAAATTTTCAAGAGATATTTTAGTAAAAGAAAAATATAGATCATCAAATTCTACATTCACATCAAATATGTAATAATATATTTAGAATTTATTTTACATAAATTATTCAAAACTTGAGTTGCATTAAGTATAATTATAACTTACAATAGAAATTTAATTTATTTTGGAGAAATTTTAGCCATGTGAATTTAGAATTTACACACAGTGATCTAATAAAAAACTGTTTAAAAACTATGTTTAGCATGTTCTTTAATTAGTAAACCGTCTCACATAAAAGTTAAACTCTTCAGTTTATCTCTTTTCTGGTAAGTACATGATGAGAAATTTATCCAAGTTAGCTCTGATATAGTGCAATCAAGTCAATCCCAGTGGTGTTTCTCATACAGGAATATGATATGGCTATGAAAAGGCAAGTTATAAGGAATAATGGTGAAGCAGAGAAAGTAATATAACACTATCAGAGATATGATATGAACCTGTGAGTTGGTTTTGCAAACGATCAATCTGCAACCCCACAGGGTCTGGTTGGACAAGAGGAAGTTCTTCCCCACCATAGATATCTTCACTCGCCACCATTCTCCTCTTTCTGCTGCTACCAAATCCTCACACAAATAGGCTTTGTTCAACAAAAAATGGGGCTTGCTAACTGGCTATATATACTACTTTTGTGTGCTTTGGTTTTCTTACCTGATACTGACAAGTGCACTGGTTGAGGTTTAATCCTAAAACACCAACTACAAAAGATTATTTAAAAGGGTAATATCTAACAATAATAATAATGAGAGGTTTATGGAGAAAATAAGAAAGAGTATTCGTATAAGAAATCAATTGACCGCAAAGAGAGGAATGAGCTTCCCCTCCAATGAAGCAAACTAATCTTGACAAATGAAATGCATAGCCAGCTTCTACTTTAGCTCATTAGCTCCTCCTTAATTCTATCTTGACAGCAACTGCTACCTTCTTTCTCTTTCTCTTTTCCTTATAGTTTTCGAGTTTAATTTCTATGTATGGTTAACTATCACAAACTATAGTTAGTATAGTATAATAAAAGTTGACGAATTTATTGTAGAGATTCATGAGTCGGTGACACTGTAAAAACCTCTATAGAGTATACTGCTTTCTCATGATTTTACCCCCTTCTATATTTCACAACTTTTACTTCTTATTTCAGAATTTATACCAAAATGTTAAAGTATACGGAACTTTTTAGTATGTACTTGATATAAAGTTAATTAAAAGCAAGGTTGATAAAGTTACTCTTGGCATGTTTTGTGTTGTTTTTGTTGGGGGACATTGGATACACCTCGTGGGGAAGGAGAACATCAAAGACGTGGACCAGTGCAATTGAGACATGTTATTGTCAGCAACAATAATTCTTTTAGTAACCTGAATTCACTTGAGATCAGTAACATTCAGGTTCAATCATATTGGTGTTTAACAAGTGGTGCACTAGTTGGTTGCAGTTTAATTTTCCTTTCAATTCTTGTTTTTCTGCTGACACATTTTGCTTCAGTCTCAAATATCAAGTGGTGGTATTAAGAGTAAGAGACACAATTGCAATTGCATAATGTAAAGTATATGAATGAATAATTATTAGATCATTAACATTCTCATTCAGGAATGAATAACTATTAGATAATATCAAACTTCTTATGTTTCAATTGGGTTTTTTCAGATAACCTTAAAATCAACATGTGATTGAGGTTTGTATGGTATGACTTAAAAAGGGTTATAAGACTATCTTTTAAATTGTAGGCTTGAGATGAAAACTTTCTTAGAAAAGGTAGAAAACAATTCTTTTGGGGTAAAAACAGTAATTGGCTTCAAACTCAATACTCAAAGTATGTAGTCAGACTCATTGTGTACTAACAGGGAGTGCATCTCGAGTGTTCCTTCAATAGAGACTGTACTTAAGATGAGATGTGTTTGTGGGGGTCATGTGATGAGAGGGGTTGGTTGGTGGCTTTCCTTCTTTCATTGTGGGGTGTTAACTGCTTAATAAGGGAGGAAAATACGACTATACACTGAACTTAATTGGCTTCGGAAATTGGTGTGGAAGAATATGTGCTGGTTTGTTTTAACTTTTGTACTTACTGCATTAAATCTGTTCTGGCTTGCTAGTGAATTGGTGCAATGCTTTGCTTTCATAAATAGACATTTATATTTGTCTTGTGTATGAACAGAAAGGTATCTTGTATTGGCAAACTCTCAGTATTGCGTTTCAAGTTCAACTCCCCTAAGTTGTCGTATTCAACATAGCTGTGTCAATGGAAGGATATCACTTTGGACTATTGTATTGCTTAAGCGCTAAAACCGTTCTGAGATCACTTTTGTTTTACTTGCTGAAATCAAAGTCATTCACAAACCACTGCGATTTCAATAACAAAAGAAATGAGTATCAGGACTCAGTTTCTGAAAGCGACCAACTAATTAAAGTGGCTTCCAAGAATAAATGAATTTGGATTAATATTCAGAGAAGCTCTCACCTTAGCTTAAAAGTATAATAATTAATAAAGTTAAAAAAAAAAGGAAAAAATTACCATATAAATGTGGTTTTTTCCTTTTTCCCATTTTTGTTTCGATGGTGACAACAAATGGAGGGTTTTACCAACAACCAAGGATGTCACAAACAAAGCTCAATGAACAACATTAATTAGAAGAAATTCAAATGGGATTTCGATGCAATAATTGAATTTGTGTGTTAAGAATGGTTGGATAATGATGTGATGAAAAAGGGTTCCTGTAGCTGTAGTCGTTCACTTAGTGCCATATATTTTGTGTTTTTGGTTTTAATTGGTAGGTTTACCATCTACATAATATCTTTTACCAGAATCAACATTTGAATTTTGATATAAAATTTAATATATGATGACAGAATTCAATATATAGGGATACATGGTTGTTGTTCAATGAGATTATTTTTAATTGTTACTCTTCAAAACAATGATAAAAAAATCTCTAGTTTTTAATCTATTATTTTCATTATCTTCTTTATTACAATATAAATTTAAAATACAATTTATATATTTAGAATACATATTTATTAATGTTTTTCGTTTCTATTATATTATATTAAGGATACATTTTTCATAATTTATTTTAGTATTTTTATATTAGATTATTTTATTATTTATAAAATAAAAATATTTTTATTATTTGATAATAATATAAATAGTAACCCTATTAACCTTTTTATTCAAAAAGTAAAGTATAATACAATTCTTTACTACAAATAATCGTAAATATTCAATTATTCACAAGTCAAACATAATTCTTTACCTTATCAAATTCTTCTTCTTCTTTTTTCTTCACTAATCCTTTCAAATCTGTACTTATGAAATTACCTATTTTTCTAAAAATAATAATTAAATCAGCATTATTTTAGTGTAATAGCAATACAGATACACAAACATTCTTATACTTATTTACATTAATGAGTTTTAAATTTTGTTTTTGTAATTTTTTTCTCTAAATTAAAAATTGTCACTTTTAATCTCTAATATTATATGATACTAAAAACTACTTATGTGTTAAATTAAAGGTTAAATAATCATTATAAAATACTATTGGTATAATATAATATTAACATCACCTGAAACAACATTAAAATCAATAAATAAATATTATGATTCTGTCTTAAAATGAATATTAAAGACTAAATGATTGAAAATCTTAAGATAGAAAAATAAAACATTTTATAATAACTAAAAGGAATTATTTTGAATTTTATTAAGGTGAAAAAAAGTATATATTTTAGAGAAGAAAAACATATTTTTATTTAGAAATGTCACTTGAGAGAGGATGTAGTTTAATTACTTGTACAATGTTTAAGAATTAAGAATTTTTAGAATTCACCTTCAAGTCTTAACAATTAAAAAAATATACAACATCTGTTTGAAATTGTAGCAACTGTTATTGATATAAACAAGATGATTATTAGTAATTTTACACGTTCTTTATAATTTTATTATAAAAATTGGTATTTTATTAAATAGTAATATATATATATATATATATATATATATATATATATATATATATATTAAATAGTATTACATATATTAAAAAAAAAAATCCAGGGCCACCCTTTGGCGCAGATGGGGTATCTGTCATTGATAATGGTAGTTGTAGAAAGGGATGTTTTAATATTTTCCATCAATTAAAATGCCAAACCATGTTATAAACATAACACTCTTTAATTCTTTGTAAATATTAGGTTGTATAATTTTTATTTTTTTTCCTTTAAATAAAATACTTTTTAAATTGTCTTTATATTCATCTTTAATTTTTGTAATTTATTTTATATAATTAAATTACATTTTAATATAACAAGACTAAATTATATTTTAATAATAACATATAAAGACTTAAAAATACTTTTGAGAAATAAAATTTATTTTTTAAAAATTATTTAGATTTTAAATATATATTAAAATTTTCCTACACGTTAAAATAAATTAATTAATTATTCTACGTTATTAAGATGTTAATGCATTTTCTCAAGTCAAAATAAAAAAGGTAAATTAAAATACAACATTTCATATTCTTCTAGAGGTCTTATTTGCAACCACGATTTCATAGTTTTTAAATTAGATGAATGATAATATATTTAATCGTAGTAAAATTCGAAGGGATTATGAATGTTTTGTGTTTACACGTAATATTTAGTCATAATAAATTTGAAATATATATAAAGAACAAAATAAACAGACAATAAGGGAGGCGATTTCAATTTTCTAAACATTATTTATATATTTATTTTTATTATTAAAAATTGAAAGTGAGTGAAATTTTTCCTTTAGATTTGGGCTTTTGCTGATTTCAGCCCATTCTCATCTTATGAAGCATTGTTGAATGTCCACTTCTGGATGATGCAATGATATTAAGTCCAAATTTGATGAATGGACCGAAAGAGAATGCGTGGAACCAAAGCAAATTAATCTCTGGTGGGCTTAGGTTCGAGCACCCTCTGACCCACACAACACAAGTCTCAGATTTGTGCTCATTGTCTTCATATGATTTTATCGTTCATTGACTTAACCTCTTCTTCTTGTCTCATTCATAACATTGAAGATTACGTCCTACCTCAAACTAACTCACTATTTTCATCTCCTCTTTCAGGTTGAAGGTTACCCCTTACCTCAAACTCTCGTCTATCTTCTGAATCTTTATTTTGTTCAGTAAATTTATCTTATATTATCACTGAATCTTCTGTTTTTCTGTTGTCCTCATGTGCATAAATCTCGGTGAAGTAAACTACACAAATATAGTTGTATTTTCTTAGAAATTTGAATCTCAAAAGGTGGTCTACGTCCATATTAAAATAAAGTATTAAATGTCTAATATATAAACTTTATATTTGATTGTTCATACAGGAGAATTGATCTAATTTTTTTTTCAATAAATAATGATATGGTGTGGACTTCCCATGAAGGGTTGAGGGTGGTGACAGTGTTTGGTTTAAAGAAACCTTAAATCCAAAGGAAAGACAAAACATGGCTCAAATGAATCTCAATTGTTAGTGCATTAATATAATATGTGTTCTTTGATACACATCACCGAAGACAAGAATGAGAAGATATGGCTTTCCTGAAGGCTAATCTTCATTCAAAAATTATAATTAAAAAGCATCCACTTCCAGAAAGGACACCGCAAACCGACCGATAAGGAATTTGACAAAGAATCTATACCACCACAAGCATTTCATCACCTTATTTTAATGACTAATATATCCTTCTCAAATTGGTCCTCGGAACAATTATTGGAAGGCTTATCTTTTCCCCGCCCTGGCCGTCCATTAGAGTCACTACTTTGATGTAAATGGATTTGATGTTAGAATAATGCCATCTTTCTTATCTCATTTCGTTTCGAAGTTAACCTTCTGGTGTCATTTATCTCTTGTGGTGATGGCAAAAGAGAGTTCTAGCTACTTTGAGGAGGAACCTAGTAAACAGATTATGCTAATGCACGAAAAACTATGCTTAAAAAATTTACAGCACAAGATAAAGTTTACATTTTTTTCAACCACCTTCACGGGTTTTCAGTGGGACTTGACAAAACTAATCTTCACTTTGAGACTTGGTCAGACTTTCAGTTTTCCCTATTTCTTAGATATGTATGTTTTGTGGCATACCAAATTCAGATCATTTTTATAAGTTCAAAGTGTGTTGTATTAGATAGAAACCAAATCTACCATTCAGGATAGACAATGAATTTTCACTATATCTATTTAAGTTCACTTATTAAGGAGAGTTTAGGAAACATATATGCCATTTACAAAAGAAGTGGCAAATGGGTCAAGCAAGCTTTGAAAATAACTGAGACCATCGTTTCCAGTAGAATCTCTTCAGATATATAAGGCTTGCCAACAATGGACTTGTTAAAGGATACATATAACCACTCACTCTCCCTCTCCACCATCAACCTCTCTCTCTTCACCCTTCTTTCCCATTCTTCCTCCTCTTTTCTCTCCCTCTCTCTCTCCTCGGAGTAAAAGTACACCTGGTATGGATATATCAGAAAAACTTCAACAATATAGATATCACATAACCAGAGCAATAGTAGTTTTACTATCATTCTCTTTGGTGTTATATGTTGCTCCACGCTTTTTGACCATTCTGGCCTATTTTTGGCCTTTGTTTGTTTCCACTACCGTCTTCTTGGTAGCAATACTAGCCTTTGGAGGCATTTCAAAACTCTCAACTGAAGATCATGGTGAAAAGGCTGGTGAAGGACTCTTGGATTATGTAGCAGGAAGGGCAGAACATATTCAGGAGGCTCAAACACTATTAAGAGAATGAAGGGTGTACTAATTTCAGGCTTAGTTTAGATGGGCTTAGAACCTTTCAACTATATATAAATCTTTGTTCAATGATATATAATATATCATGATCTCTGTCATCCAATTGTTGCTAAAAAGACTATTGTTTTTATCCAATGTGCTTAGCAACTGTCACAACAATAAGAACGAAAATAAACAAGAGTAAACTTCAGGAAATGAGTATCAAAATTTTCTTAAGCTTAATCTCTGCCTCCTTGTCTCGTGTCTCTCTGTCTAAAACGTGATAGTGTTGGCACTAACCCTGTGCAACCTTTTGGGTGTAAACTTTGTGATTGATTTCTTTTTTAAGTGTTAGAAAATCTACCTTATGGACCCTCCCTGGTTACTTCAATCACTCAGCCTTGGATTGAATTAGTACTTTTTTGGTTAATTTTTTCCGCATTTAAGTCTCATAGTAATACAGTTGAAGAGTATAATATGTATCTTTTAATGCGGGTACGGCTTTGCACCAAAAAGAATACAGAAAGTTATACAAGGGATTAGGATTTTTAAAATATAATAGTTTTAATCTTCTTTTCTGAGTGGAGTGAAGATGATAGTATTAAAAATAACTACAGCTACATTCTGAAACAACTTTCCCATCGTGTATACCAGATGGATAGATTAGTGAAATTATAATTTTTTTTTATGTAAATGAAGGATCTTTGTGATGTTGATGTTGCAAACACTTTATTTTCTTAACAAAAGCTTTCTATTTCTCTTAGTTAGTAACCTGATGTACTTGGTGCGCAGGAAAGTAAATTTGATTTTAGAATAAATTTTTGAATTTGAGTGGTTTATACAAATCAAGAACCTGGTATGAGGTTGCCACTCATTAAGAATCACTTGAGCATATAGCTACATACATGGAAAACTAAATTATGGCTTTTGAATTGGTCACACAAATTAATTAGGCAGCCACAAGATGTAGCTTATGAAGCATAATCTCATTGCTTTATTTTTAGGTGATTTTTTTATTGTGACAATATTTTTTTCTGCTTGACAAATGCCTAAGAAAAAAATCTAACCTTTCAAGTATCAAGTGGCCATTACGAACACCATATCTTGAATTTGTTCACTTTCCTTATCCTCGATGAAAATATTTAAGATAACATATACCTTATCAAGTGGCTATATACTTGGGAAGAAGAACTGTTGAATTATCTTTCTCAATTTTGATTTTACATTTATATCTATGCATTTGCAACTACTTAAGTTTATAAAAGTAGGCTATATGAGTTTTTATCACAAAATTGAGTTTCGAAGTGTCTAAACCAGGAACATGTGCTAAGCATGTGGGGTGGTCAAAGGGTATTTTGTTTTTAATGAGACTATTGAAAAGTAAGTTTCCGAAAGAACTCCGTTTGAAGGAACATAAAACATGACTATGTTAGGATCTGCTTCCCCAAATTCGTAAGTTAAAAGATGAAAATACTTGAATTGTTTTATATGGTTAGTAATTAGTATGCATAGGAAATTAATGGTGCTTGTCATTTACTTTGTTCATGTGCTGCATAATGTGCCCACTTACCTTTATTCTCCTTCCCTTTTGTGACTGAACTGATGGTTTTCTGGCGTGTTCTTATTGAATTGAGTGAGACCGCAAGCACCCACATGCCATTCAGATAGACTGTCCATACCACCCCTAACACAGTGACAGGAAACTAGCAGACTATAGATTCTAATAATTTACGAACCTCTGGTGCAAAAAAACAATGACTCTTAATTATGCTATGCTCTAGCCACATGTGTTCTGTTTTGGCCTCAAATTGTTTGCACTCCACATTTAAAACATGAGTATATAATGTATGCTCTAAAAAAATTTTAAACTTTAGATTACAATTATCCTGTATGGTAAATGTATTAACTTTTTTAGAAAGTTTTTTAAAGTTATATTAATCATAGTTGACTGTATAAATGTTTTAGGGTTTAGGATTTTAAACACTTATATTCTGTCCATTCTTCACTTCTACAAATCACTTTCTCAGAGTCAGATAGCTTAATCTGGACTTATTGATCTCATTTAGTTCAGATAGTTCATATATATGACTATAAGCTAGATTGCTGAAGCATAAGTTGGCTACCTAATGCATTACCTAATCTGGGCATGATTGATACATTATGACCCTATGATAGTTAAGAGCATGTGGCTCAAAGTTTGAAAATTGATTCTTTTCTTATCAGCACTGTCTCAACCCTAAGCTTGCTCACATTAATTAAGGCCAATATTGGCTACCTCGTGATAAAGAAAAAGAAATGAGCAATATAAAAGTTTCTGAAGTGTTAGATTGTATATAATACACCATGGTGCATAAAGTGTTAGATCACTGGAAAAGGCTCATCATCTTTTCTAAAATGTACTACAAAATGAAAGAAATGAAGAGTGTGTTTGTTTTGGGTGACCCCCACTTTTCCATGCACCTTCAATGTTAATCTTTCTCTCACAGTCAGCTGGCATTGAAGGTGATTCAACGGCGTTTATACACATACACAACCTATATTCATTTTCCACTTTTGAACGCATTTTCAACACCACCCTATGGTCATTGTGCATCAACTAAACTTAACTAAACATGGATTCTAACACACCCTAAATTTGAACCTGAGTTCCACATTATAATTGGAAAGTATGGGGTTAAGGAGATTCACATTAATAATGTTTAATGTCAGAATTTCATGGCAAAGCTCAATGTTAGATATCAGCCTTTTGTGTATCATTGTGCAAATGATAGAAATTAGAGAGAAAAAGATCCATTCCAGTTTACAACTTTTTTTTATCCTACAAGGTTGTTGAATATAGAAGAAATAGAGTTTGGGATTAATCTCCGTTGTGTCTAAATCACACATAGGGTAGTATATTTATAGTAGAGAGATACAACTAAAAGAGTAACTGAAAGTAACAGAATAAACAGAAGATATTGTTTGATATTATGGTTAATATCTAACAATATCTTAACAATATTAAATAATATCTAAACAATATCTAACACTCCCCCTCAAGCTGGAGCATACAAATCGTATGTGCCAAGCTTGTTACAAATATAATCAATTCTAGGACCCCGTAAAGATTTAGTAAAAATATCTCGCTAACTTGATCACTTGAGTTAACAAACTCGGTCTTGATGTCTCGGACATAATCTTTTCTCGAATGAAATGACGAGTCAATCTCAATGTGTTTGGTCCTCTCATGAAAGACAGGATTAGAACTAATATGAAGAGCAGCCTGATTGTCACATACAAGTGACATTTGAGTGACATCTCCAAATTGTAACTCTCTAAGCAATTGCTTGAGCCAAACAAGTTCACAACTAGCTGAGGTCATAGCTCTATATTCTGCTTCTGCACTAGATCTTGCCACAACACTTTGTTTCTTACTTTTCCATGAGACCAAGTTACCACCAATGGAGACACAATATCCAGATGTAGATCTTCTATCCGAAAGAGATCCTGCCCAATCAGCATCTGAGTAGCAAACAACTCTTGTATGGTTATTAGAATCATATAACAATCTTTTTTCAGGATATCCTTTAATAAACTTTAAGATACGAATGACTGCATTTCAATGATCTTCACATGGGGAATTAAGAAATTGGCTTACCACACTGACTGCAAAGGAAATGTCAGGACGAGTAACTGTAAGATAATTCAATTTTCCAACCAATCTTCTATACTGCTCAGGATCAGGTATAAGCTCCCCCTGATTTGGTAAAAGTTTAGTATTGGGATCCATGGGCGTATCAACAGACTTTGAATTCATCAACCCAATTTTCTCTAAAATATCCATGGCATACTTCCTCTGAGATATAACAATACCATCATTGGACTGTGTCACCTCAATACCCAAGAAATATCTAAGTTTGCCAAGATCTTTGGTCTAAAAATGGTGACAGAGATGTTGTTTCAACTGAGAGATGTCATGGTTGTCACTACCTGTAAGAACGATGTCATCAACATATATTATCAAGTAAACACATCCAGCACTTGAGTGTCGATAAAAGAGAGTGATCTGCTTCACACCGAGTCATACCAAATTGTTGAACAACCTTGCTAAACTTTCCAAATCAGGCCCTAGGAGACTGTTTTAGGCCATATAGGGATTTGCGAAGACGACATACCATCCCAGAAGACTCCCCCTGAGCAACAAACCCAGGAGGTTGCTCCATATAGATTTCTTCTTGCAAATCACCATTGAGGAAAACATTTTTAACATCTAGTTGATAAAGAGGTCATTGTTGAAGAGCGGTCATGACGATAAATAAACGAACAGAAGTCATCTTTGCCACAGGGGAAAAGGTATCTCCATAATCCAACCCAAAAATTTGAGTATAACATTTGGCCACAAGACGAGCTTTGAGGCGATCAATAGTACCATCAGGTCCAACTTTGATAGCAAACACCCACCTGCAACCAACAACAGATTTCCTAGACGGTAACGAGACCAATTCCCAAGTTCCACTATTATGAAGAGCACTTAGTTCATCTAACATGGCCTGACGCCAACCAGGATGGACTAAAGCTTCACGGATAGTTTTTAGAATGGTCACAGAAGAAAGAGAGGAAAGACATGTATAAAAAGGTAATGACAGTCGATAATAACTCAAATCAATATAATGAGGAGAGGGATTACGTGTAGAACGGATACCTTTTCGGGGGGCAATGGGAAGGTCAGACTCAGGTGTCACATCTGGAGGAGACAGAGTAGTTAACACTTGAGTAGAGTCACATGGTGGTGGTTGTGATTGGTTTCGGCAACTATAAACCTGAAGAGGCAGTGAAGAAGAAGCTTACTGCGGAGTAGAATCTAATGGTGAAGAAGACACAGTTAGAGGATCACAAACAACAGGAACATTAAATGTACTAGGGGTGTTGACAAGATTGGATGGAGATAGAGGTGAAGATTGACTTTTAAAATAAAAAGAGAACTCACCAAAGATGACATCTACAGACACAAAGAGAAGGAGAAAAACATTTGTATCTTTT